GAATCCTTTTGTGCATTGCCTCTGAGTACTCCGTTGCAGTTTCGCAAACTAAATTTTGGAATGGTTATAGGTGGTAAGCAGGCCACAGCGTCTACCAGCATAACAAAGTCTAAGCCGTAAGTTTATAAAGAGGAAATGGAACGAAGCGTTTCATGCCCAGAAGAACAATACAAAGGTATTCGTATTATTTATGAGTCCGAGGTATCCTGACAGTCGTTAATGCATGTAAGATTGGAGGTTGGTTGAGCAGCATTTGGAGGAAAGTTGGAAACAAACCGTGCCGGCATAGTCTGATCTGCGAGAGTAGTTAATATACATTAAATTATAGTACTGATGATAAGCGAGTAGTCATGTTTTTATAACTATCTCAACAACCTTACTCCTGTTAAGTCTTTACCAGGAATATGTAATTGACGCACTTTTTTCAATTTTTCTCTGTATTCATGTATTTCCTAGCGTCTTGTTACCAATGGGGAATTCAAAGGCGTTCTTCCATCTTTCCCTCAATAAACTGATGCAGATACCCTGTCTAAGGCGAAATTACAATGACTCCATCTCTCAGTAGTTAGCGCGTTACACTGAAAACCGAAAGATCAACTTTTTGGACTATATGTGCCACAAGAATGCCCTTAAGTATGCAAAAGGATAGTCGTATTTTGTACTCGACTTGTGCCGAATGATGAGTTCTTCAAATTGTATACTTGAAGAAGGAATAACTTTCGGACTTAAGAAAGTTTCCAATTGTGCGACGTTTTACCACCGTGAATTGTTCAGTCATGGTACATCGTATCCGTTAATTTATTTATGTTGTTTATAAAGTATACAACACGATTGACATATACATTGCAAATGTTTTTTGAGAATTATGTGAACTCTTCCCATAGAATAGACAAGCGTTTGCTTCATTAAAGACGAAACATACAAGCCATGCAATTTTTGCATGCAAATGTAACGGCCGGTAATGTTTAAAACTATTCGGATATTTCGAAAATGTTTTAAGACCGACATAGTGTGGAACCCCGAGGGACGAGCAGTCCTATCTACGAGCGTTTCAGGTAAAGAGTGAATCACTCGCGCAAACTTTGTCTCGATTTGTTGTAACAGTTACGAAACCCGAGATTTCACCTTTTAATTACGCCTTGTGTGAGTCCCCAAGGAAGAACACAACAAAAGTGTGCAAACCCTTTTAGCATACCTGATACAGCGTATGTTATGGCAAGCAAAGCGTACAGTTTGGACCAATCAGATTGTTGCCTCAAGATATGGATAATATGCAGAGTAGCTTTGGGGCTGATCAGAGTGATGGGGCAGAACACTAATCACGGGCGGCGGCTTGATCGATCACATCACTCGCGCGGATTGTACCGATCGATAGTGCACCTTGGAAAAAGTTAACAGGATAGCTTGCAAGTAGGTCGTTAGGCCTGCTCCTAACACGATTAAGGAGCTTCCGCCGAGTTAACGAGTTGTCCCTGCTTGTGTCTAACTGTGTCCACCACCGAGTCTTGTTTCCAGGACGTAGATTCCCGGTCACCTGCAACCAATACGTGAACTGGTGCAGTTTGATTGGCTACGATTCACAGGACGAGGGTTTCACATGACAGGCTCGGTGCCGGAACGGACTAAATTCGTTAACCAAGGTTCTACTGTACACCTTTTCTTTCTG